TTGATGCATTTGTAGGGCTTTGGATGTGTTTGGAGTCGTTTGGAGGCGTTTGGATGTGTTTGAACGCGTTTGGAGACGTTTGGACGCTTTTGAACGCGTTTGGAGACGTTTGGATGCGTTTGAACGCATTTGGAGACGTTTGGACGCGTTTGAATGCACTGGGCACCTCGAGCCCTCGTGCTCAAGCAGAGGAGGGAGATGCTGAGCCCGGAGGGGACAGGGACGGAGATATCAGAGGTCTCACACAGGGGACAGGTCCCAGCTCCACCTCGTGGCCTGCAGAGCCAGGGGTGACGCTGCCTGGGGTCCGAGGAACATCCCCTACCTCGGCACCGTCTCCGTCTCGCTTCTGCTTTTTAGCCTTGTGCTCCGGGGCCTCGTCCTCGTCGCACGACCGCGTCCGCTTCCCTCTCCCTGTTTTCCCGAAGGCGGCGCTGGGTTGGAACGCGCGGCCGGGCGCGCGGCTCCCGCGGGCCCCGCGCGGGAGGGTCTCACCTGCGAGGCTCAGCCGGGGCACCGCGTACATGTCCTTCTCGCTGAGCACCAGCGCGGGCGACGCCGCGGGCGGCCCCGCGGGCTCGCGAGCGCCGCGCTGCCCCGGGAGCCGCTCGGAGCGGGCGCTTAGAGCCTCTTTGGGCACCTCCTTCTCTGCGCACCCACTCTGGTCTCACACATTTCGCATCCCATCTCCTGAAAACTGCCACCCTCCCTGCCCATGTCCGTGCATCCGGCTGCCGAGCAGAGCTTTCTCCCCATCCCTTGTCCCCATTCTCCCTTATGGCACCTTCAAAGGCGAAACTACTTTCTCTGTCCCCTCCTGCTTCCCTGGGGTGGCTGCACAGGACAAGCAGAGTGCAGCTCAGTGGCACATTCCCTGGTGGGTGACAAGGTGACCATGGGGCAGCAGGTGCCCTCGTGGCCAGGAAGGCCAATGGGATCCTGGGCTGCGTTAAGGAGAGCGTCTGCAGCAGGTCCAGGGAGGGGATCCTGCCCCTCTGCTCAGCCCTGCTGAGGCCACATCTGCAGGATTGTGTCCAGTTCTGGGCTCCACAGGACAAGAGGGATGTGGAGCTGCTGGAGAGAGGCCAGCGCAGGGCTCCGAGGATGAGGAGGGGCCTGGAACATCTGCCCTGTGAGGAGAGGCTGAGGGAGCTGGGCCTGTTCAGCTGGAGAAGAGAAGGCTGAGAGGGGACCTGAGCAGTGTCTAGAAGTACCTCAAGGGAGGCAGTGAGGAGGATGGGGCGGCCTCTTTGCACTGGTGGCCACCGACACAACTAGAGGAAACGGCCCCAAACGGAAGCACCAAAAGTTCCACAGGAACTTCAGGAAAAATCCCTTCCCAGTGAGGGTGCCAGAGCCCTGGAACAGGCTGCCCAGAGAGGTTGTGGAGTCTCCTTCTCTGGAGATCTTCAAACCCGCTTGGCCGCAGCCCTGTGCCACGTGCTCTAGGTGACCCTGCGTGTGCAGGGGCTGGGCTGGGCCTCCTCCGCCCGCCCCAGATCCCTTCTCCAGGGACCCCCGCGGGCTCCCACCTTCCATGGTCTCCGTGAGCCGGTCGGCGACCTTCCTCACCACGGCGCTCATGGTCATCTTGCCGTTGAGCAGCAGCTCCTCCACGACGAGCTCGCCCGTGTCGCCGTAGAGCGCCTTGGCGGTGTAGATGTAGCGCGGGTAGCGCAGGATCCGCAGCACGCGCGGGCACTGCGCCTCGTACTCCACGCCGCCGCGCTTCTGCGCCTGGTAGGTCACCAGGTTGTGCTGGATGAGCACGCAAAGCGCCTTCTTCACCTGCCGCAACGGTTCCGTTAAGGGGTGAACAACGGGAGCTGACC